AAAAAAAAAAAAAAAAAAAAAAGGAATGATCAAAACGTAATATAAACAACTGAACAATTCAGAATAAGCTAGTTACTCAGATAGATCTACAATCAACTTAATTCCTAGTGTTATATAAACTCAGAAAATAAAGAAATATACAAAACCCCATAACTCAATCATTTTCGCCTCTCTTGGTTAAGTTTGGAAGCACCTCGCTACTCGAGCCAGACGGCTGGCGGCCAAAATCGCTAGTGGGGACACTGTACTCGCTTGTGTTGTTCTCGAGGCTTTCAAAGGCCATCTTCCTAAATTTCAGCAAATCCTCTTTGTAGTGTGTGGTGTCATAAGAGGCATCGTAGTCTGAGCTCCCGTACGAGTCGTATGTTCCACTGTCTCCAGGATGAGAACCCTCTTTTAGTTCTTCCAAAGCTAAACTTCCTTCTAGAGCACGGATTATCTGCACGAATTGTTTCGGTTTGTGATAAGATTTTGGAGTAAATAATATTGGTTTGAGTAAACTACAAAATCATCCTCTGAGTTGAGGAAAAAAAAAAAACTATAATGTTTTCAAACTGCAACTACCTACTGACATTTGTTTCCATGTCACAAACAAGCTGCAATTTTGAGAATTGAGTATTCACTAAGACTAAAATTGTTGTGTTTGTAATACCGAAAGATATATCGATTTTTTTCACTAGACTAAAATTGGTAGCCTACTGAAAAAAACACGAATAACTCAATGGAATTCAAATATTATCAGATGCAAGGTCATTGAACGTATATATGAGAGCAAAGCGGAAATAAATAAATAGATGTACCTGGCTCATTCGTGGCCTACGTCTAGCCAAATGGCGCACACAGACAGAAGCACAAGCAACCATCCGAGCCATCTCAATGGAATTATAATCCTTCTGCAACTTTGGATCAGCCACACCATCGAAGTTGTTATTTTCCAAAGCCTGCGTAAGTAAAGGCCTTGCCTGTATTGGTGTAGAAAAATAAGTTAAATTTCATCTGAGAAAAAAATTAAAGTAAATATCATTGAAACGAAGAGGGCTCGAAAAAGTTATGAGTACTTGGGTTTTATTTAGTCAACTCATAAATATGCTCATGAAATTCTCATATTAAAAAGCTCACATCTTAATTTAATGTTCGGTTAGTTGCTTCTAAGATCTTTCCTGTCTTAGCTTTTCTTACATTTGATATGAATTAGCAAAACCAATATCTCATGGGCACGAGTAGACAAACAACTAAAGAAAATATACATGTTTTTTCCATTACTTCAGTTGTTAAATAGCAAAGTAGTAGTTAATGGCTTATTCCAGTTCTCACCCAATCAATGATGTTATCATCAAGGTAGTTTTGTGTTTTATCAATCGGCCGGCGTCCCGTGATTAACTCCAACAGTACAACTCCAAATGAGAAGACATCTGACTTATCAGTCAGCTTTCCAGTGAGAGCATATTCCGGAGCCAAATAACTGTAAAAAGTAGGAAAGGGAGAATTAGCTCGTATTATAATTTACATATGATGTGATAAATCTTGATAATAGCCTTTGGCAAAAGTATCTTTTTGAAGTAAACAATTCGCTTTAGCAGCGTAAGTCACAATTCGATGGAAAATTAGATAGCAGATCTGCAGTATCTTACCCAAAAGTTCCCATTACCCGAGTTGATACATGAGTATCAGTATCTGAATAAAGCCTTGCAAGCCCAAAATCAGCAACCTGGTTTAAAGTGCCCAGAATTATTAAAGATTTAGTGTTGTAAATATCGGATCTGATTCACAAATTGTCATAGTAACAATCAGAAAGATCTTGACAAATTTGGCCAATTTAAAATTTTAAACACCAAGCTAAGATGGCGTTCTTCGTAGAATAGAGACTCAGATTTGAAACTGATTTAAATGAAATTCAATATAGTTGATACACTCAAACATTTGATATTATCAATAATTACAACATGTTTAATTAATCTAACCCTCATTTCCAGCAATTTTATATATTATTCAGAAGCCTAAATCAAGCCAAGTTCACCTTCTGACTTCTAGTCTCCAAATAGTTTGAAATCCCAAATTTCTATCCATCCTTTCATCCGTTATATCCAATGATTTGCAGATCACCATTAGCCACAAATCGAGCCTATGTTTAAAATGAAGTTGTACCACTCAATGGAATTAAGGCGGGTTATATATGTGTTTGTCAAAGTTTGATGTGAGGTACATAGGAAGCAAGACAACTCTTTGCAATTGTTGGTTCTTTTTCTGCTACTACCTCTTTATAGTTACATGACGTATAATCAAAGAGATGAGAGAGAGAGAGAGCATATTCGTGAGGACAACAACAATGTTCCAAATATTGATACACACCTTTGCCTCAAAATTATCATCGAGAAGTATGTTAGCAGACTTGATATCACGATGTATTATCTTAGGCTGACCTGCATAAGTCATTGAATTTAGATGTGATTGCACTTTTAAAGAATAACAGCACAGCCATCAAGGTCATAACAAAGAGGAGGGATGCTCACAGTCTTCGTGCAAATAGGCCAATCCTTTTGCGGAGCCCATGGCAATTTTCATCCTAGTGGCCCAGGTTACAGAAGGTCTTCCCTTCCCTGCATCACTTTACACTTTGATAAGACAAATTTCAAATAAGAAGTTGAACTTGTATAATGTATGATTTTTTTTTTTTTTTTTTGCAAATTGAATCATGGGTTTAGATAAATAGAAGTAAATGATTTACGATTAAAAAGAAAAAAGGAAAAAGCTGCTCTATTGATTAGACTCTGGAAAGTTTTGTTAACCATGTCATAAAGCAGCTAAAACTTCATGTTGTGTCAATCATCAAGAATATTATTAAATAAAAACCAGTTCGGGCTTACCATGTAAATGAAATTCCAAGGTTCGATTCGAAACGTATTCATATACCAATAATCTTTGAGTCCCTGAAATGCAGTGCCCGACCAGTGATACTAAATGCTTATGATTAACACGACTTATGGTCTCGACCTCTGCCTGAAACTCACGTTCTCCTTGACCACTCCCAACTTTCAATTGCTTAATTGCGACCACTTTTCCATCTGAAAGAACACCCTTATGAACATATCCAAAGCCACCTTGACCTAGCAGGTTGTTGCCTGAGAAATTGTCGGTTGCAAGTGCGAGTTCTTCGTATGTGAAGGTAGTTTTTGTGTAAGGCATTCCAGTTTTATGGTGGGAATTAGATGAAATGCCCGGTGGGGAAGTAGGCTTTGCCAGTCCACGGAGATCACCACCTGATGGTGGTGGTTTAGGCTGTTCTGGGTCGTCTGAGCACTTGTGAGGATCATCTATAAAAGCAGAAATGTTATATCAAACTGAATCTATTAGTAAAATCAAAATACATAAACTAAAAGGCTATGTTGTTGTTGTTGTTGTTG